TTCTCCAAGTGCGAGTTCTGGTTGCGCGAGGTGCAGTTCCTTGGACACCTCGTCAACTAGAAGGGTATACTAGTAGATCCGGCCAGGATAAAGGTCGTGATATAGTGGGAGGTCCCGAGGTCTCCAACTGAGATTCGGAGCTTCCTAGGACTGGCAGGGTGCTACAGGAGATTCATCCAGGATTTCTCCAAGATAGTAGTTCCACTCACCCGACTAACGAAGAAGTCAGTGCTTTTTCGTTGGAGGCCTGAGTAGCACGCAACATTTTAAAATAACTTATGTTGTGGATCTTAACCGCTATACATGCTCATATGGGAAATAATGCAGTCTCAGTATAGTGTGCGATCAAGCTATTGCGGTATCATCTTATTCAAACATCTCATAATTAGAAGATATGGTTTATATATTATAGGGTTGACATGTTTCAAAGTACATACCAGACGCAAAATGTGAATCTTTTTCCCTTACATATGAATGGGAAATACCAGACCCATTAACGGTTGTCTTAATGTTGTAATCGTATATTTATTTTCACTTATTTTTATCACAATTAAGTATGTTCGCAATCGATTTGGAGTGACTAGTGAAACTTATTACCTACATGTTACAAATAAAAACATAAATAATTTACAAATACATAATCTTATTAAACCTACAAATAACAAAAATACATAATTTAAATATACGAGACATCATTTAAAAGATACCAAAAACATTCATATGGAAAACCAACCCCCTTACTTTTATGTATGTATTCCACCTTTGGCAGCGGCAAAATTACTTGTTCATCTTCATCAAATAATTCATTGTCGATCTTGTGATAAATTTTAATAAACGTCTCCATCATCGATCGTATGTATAGAAACTCTTCATTTCTTCTTCATTTTGATACTCTACAACATATAACTCATAGTGAAACACATTTTTCAAGTGGACCTATCATGACCCGTACATTAGATGTGGCAAACTAATGACAACCATAACATTTATGTCATTGATTCCCGACTCACATACTCACATACCCAAATTATTGACACACGGTCACAGACTCAAATTTCGGACACACCGTGCCAAGCACCACATTCTAGACACCCCCAATTCTGGATACCACATTCCAAACACATTCCGGACCCCAATCATTTATTTCATAGATTCCTGAATCAAGGACACATATTCTGGACACCCCGTTCAACACAAATTTAGCCTATCAATATGCAACTATCATACACCGTAAACGTAGTAAAACCTTGAGAATGAGTTCACTTGAGATTGATGTTTGGCGTTGTGAAGAAGACGATTGCTATGTTTTTTTTGGATATAAACACGTTTCTGGAAGGCCTAGATTTCCCATTCACTGATAAAATGTTTGATGTCATTTTTGAAGCTATGAAAGCCGTAATGAATGTGCAGACGATCTAGCGCAACAAGTAAATGAAAAAAATGGGTTGTTGAACTATGAAAAAAGTCAAAGAACTGTGAAGTGGATTTAAGATGCAAATGTGGAGATTGATAAACTTTCGACAGAATAGGGACGTCAAACAAATGATAGAATTAGAGGAGATTTTATTGACTGCAAAACAAAATATGTATCCTTTATAATTTCCTAATACGTGGAAACTAATCTAAGTATGTAATAGCTTTTGGAATGCTCGTTTATCTAATGTTAATGAAAAAGCATTGCCATTTTAGAAAACCTCATAATTTCTTTTACATAATTAAGTTTGAAATGAAAATAAAAAATTAAAAGAATTAGAGCACATATCCAAGATAACTTGGAACTTGAATCCAGTGCAAAAATACAGTATCTACATGATTTTCAAATAATTCCATGTATGTCTCAATTAGGCTAAACCCATTATCAGTTATTTGCACTCTTTTTTCTATTGTTACACTTATCCTATGTGCTTCTTTGATGATGTACATTGTGTTCACAAAAAGGCATATATCATTAGACATCATAATGAGGAGCATTTTCATGTTAAACAATTCTAGTTTACTATGCTCCTCGACCCAAGAAGGAAGTAATGAGATTTCCAGTATTATCATTCATTTTTTCGTACATTGATAATCTTGAATCATTTTCTAACGTAGTTGTATCGACAAGACATTTTTTGCTCGCCATCAAGCCGTAGTATTTCATATTCTATTGGCAATGTATCCTAATCAATCGAGTCCCTAGATGTTGGAGACTAAAATTCAAATATATTAAAATACACATTAAATAAAGGGAATGTTCCAAATTAATGCCAAGTTGCATAAAAATATTCATAACAAAAAAAAATATATAAGGTCCCAACTAGTATAAAATTACAGGTATTTGTAAACTTATTGGGGTCCTATATTTGAAGTTCTACCTGCTTTCAATCTAAGCTTTAACATTTTTTTTTCTAATTTCTTTCTTAATTTTATAGTTGTCCAGCGTGGTTTACTATTTATTTCCTACATTTTATTTTTTTATCTGAAAGAAACATTCCAATATCATTTAAATATATTAACATTAAAATACATTATATTCATAACAAAACTTTGGAAATTAGTTTTACCTTTAGCGGACGTAATTTTGTAATATCCTCAAAATGGAATACAATTTGTTCGTCTGTAAAACCCATTTTTTAACAACATCTAGAGAAATTGATCTTCAGGCTAATACGAGTTCGGTTTAATGCAAATAAATATTAAAAATAATTTCACAATATCATAAACAATACTAAACAAATATTGAAATGTTATTCCAGAATGTCATTTCGAAACAATTGCATTTCAGACACAGGTACTTCGTATTTCATGCTACGTACTTTGTATTCTGGAGTGCAAATACTATTCAAGAATGACTTGTAATGGCTAATATAGAGCTTTTTCCTCACTACAAAATGGTGTTACTCACATTTCATGGTATACTGTTACTCACATTTCATGGTACCTATACGGTTCTTATATATCTAAAACTAAAAATAGTACAAAAACTACATATTCCGGACTTGTTCTTCGAATTGCGGACATGGTCTACACATTTCGGAATACAAAAAAGTTATTTGTAAAGCAAGATGCAAGTATAAGAGTATAGATCACCTGATTTTTTGAATTCATGGTCAATAAGCTTAAAAAATTACGCCTATGGTGGTAAGAAGAACTTTAGAATTCCAATTTTCGGAATGCTTATTCTGATTATCTTGGTGTGGGCCCCATATATATATATATATATATATATATATATATATATATATATATATATATATATATATATATATATATATATAGTGATGAAAGTGGGTCCAAACCAAGACCGGATGGAACCGGACCTGAAAAACCAAGAACCGGTTAACAAGATATTGTAAAATCGGAAACCAGACCGGTATATAGAAACCGGTTCCATTCGGTTTCGTGTACGGTACCAGGTAAAATGAGTCTCGAACCGAAAAACCCGGAAACATTAAAGTGGGTAGGTTGAAACCGTAAAAAGTGGATTTAGAACCGGAAAACCTGAAAACCGAAATTTTTTAATAATTACTTAGTACTTAGTGCGTTGAACTTTAAAAATGAAACTAAAATTCACAAAATTATAGTTTAAAATCACGCACAAACTCAAAACTATACTCTAGAAAAAACCATATGTTAATTTGACTTTAAACGAATGAGATATGCATGTGTTAACGTTTTCATTAAATTAAAAATAAATAAAAAAAAAAAAAAAAAAAAAAAAACCCTAAAAAGTTGAAAATTTTAAGCTTTGATATCATGACTTCGGGGAACTGTAAGTTATTGAATATTTAAACAAAAAGAACAACATTATACTCTAAAATCATGTACAACTTTAAACTACAAGTTGGAAAAACTTAATGTCAATCCGACTTCAAATGAATTAGATATGTATGTTTTAAAATATTCACAGAATACCAAAAAGCTGAAAAACCTAAAAATTTCCAACATTTATATTTCAATTTTGAAAAACTGTAAGTTAATGAATATAAAACTAAAAATAACAAATTTATAATCTAAAATCATGTACAAACTGTAAACTACATGTTGGAAAAAACCGTATGTCAATCTGACTTGAAATTAATGAAATATATATGTTTTAAATGTTTCACGGAAACCAGTTCTGATCCTAAAAGTGGTTCCGATTGCTGATACCGGTTCCGGTTCTATAACCCGGTTTGCTCGGTCCCGATGGACCAAAATCTAGATTACCCAAAACCCAGAGAAAACCAAATTTTAAACTCGAAACCGAAACATCTTCAATAAATTCCGGTTCTAGTTCAATTTTCCGGTTATAAATCTCATCCCTACCCCCATATATAGCATTAAGCTACACTAATAGGCTTTTGGTTTGTTTTGGTTTGGCCCTGAATGGCCATTAAATTGTTATTATGTTAAAAAAAATGATTATTTTCATTGATAGTTAACTAAAACGTGGTTACATTACTCAATTTTCCATTTATTAAATTTGGTTCTTAATTTTACGCTCCAAATCGATAAGTTGTAAGATATCTTTGATAATTGGAATTTTTATTAAAATGCATAACCGATAATTGATGAATTGACTGAGTCAAATGATTTTGAATTTTTATAAATTGTCAAGTTGATTTCACTTCATACATTCAACTACTTTCGTAGTGAGCTTTTATATCTTTGTACTGTCATAACAAATGGAAGATTGATATTGCACCTGTTACCTTTTGGAATTTATTATATTACGACGATTGATATTGCACCTACTACCTTTTGGAATTTATTATATTATGATCTGGATTTAGGTTTTTCGTTTTATTTTTGTAGAATGCGTGTTTCACAAAATGCCAAAATTGATGTTTCGATTCAAGTCAATCGATAATTTATGGCATTCATAGTTAGTGACTATTTCAAACTAGGGTTGACAAAAAAAAATTAATTATTTCCAAAAGTTCACCACAGTTGACTCAAGGTTCTTCGGTATGCTCTCACCACAATCTTTTATGATAAATACATCACCATGGTACTTGAGAAAAATGTATCGCTAGCTTCTTCCATTCACTCCCATCGTTATTGCTACAAACATTTAACTTTTCTTTGACAATTTAAGTCGATTTACTAAAGCAAGCATGTCCTCATCTTTCATGAGAGAGTTTGCACACCTCCAAATTCCACTGGAATCCATTATATGTGCCACTAACAACTTTGCTAACAGCAACTTCATTGCGCAAGGTGCATATGGTAAAGTATACAAAGGAGATTTCTCAAGCTCGGAGGGTCCAACCATCAGTGCTGTAAAGCGCTGGAATCCTTTGAATGAAGATGGAGGTCCGGAGTTTCGAAGGGAGATCATGTTGCTTGCCGAAAATATACATGAAAATCTCATCACACTCTTAGGATTCTGTGATGAGAAGAAGGAAAGAATCCTTGTGTATGAGTATGCACCTAATAAAAGCCTCGACTTTCATCTAGCAGACCCCAAATTGACGTGGGTTCAACGTCTCAAGATATGTCTTGAGACTGCACGTGGTTTGCAGTACCTTCACAATCCCAAGGAAGCCCAACGTGTCCTGCATTGTGATATCAAAAGTGGCAATATATTGTTGGACGAAAACTGGAAAGCCAAAGTTTCAGATTTTGGCTTATCCAAATATGGCCCTGCCACAGTATTCCGTTCGTATCTTATCACTCAAGCCAAAGGCACATTAGGATATGTTGATCCCGCCTTTATGGAGACGTTGGTATACACAAAAGAATCGGACGTCTACTCCTTCGGGGTGGTACTATTCGAAGTTTTATGCTCAAGGGTTTGTATTGATTTTAGTTGTGATGATGATGCGCACCGATGCCTAGTTGCATGGGTAAAGAAGTCATCAAAAGAAGAAATTCGAGATACAATTATTCATTCTAATCTAAGGCAACAAATGAAACATCATTCTTTTGATAAGTTCTTAAAACTAGCATTACAATGCGTGGAAAAAGAGCCCAGACGTCGCCCGTCAATGGATATCATTGTGGGAACGCTTGAATCTGCACTCAAATCTCAAGTATGTTCTTTTACTCTTTTCATTGGATTTATATATGGAAGAAACCAACAAACGCGACAAATATAATTGAAATAATATCGTTGGAAACAACAATGCAAATACTTCAAATGGATTAATGTCAACATGTTTGGAAGTTTGTTTTAAGAATGTAATTAATTATATCATAACAAGATTTTCTTTGCTGGTAATTTTAGGAAAGATTTGTGAAGTTCAAAAAAGCATCAGGTATCATGTTGGACATTGCTGCAGCCTCTCTGATACGGATATCTCCAGAAGCTTCTCGAGTCCCTTTAATGTTGAAGTCAGCGTTGTCGGAGGATAGGCCCTTTGGGATCACCTGCAAAAACCTTATCCGAACTTTCCATGGTTCTAAACAAATTTCTCCTAAAGATGAATCCAGCCATCCAGAACCTTAACACGATGGATCCGAAAGTTTCCTATGCGTCTGACATGGTTTTCAACACCGTCGGTTTGACCAATTCAACCAGCAACCGGTCAGATTACTTGTTTTATCGCATAAAAACTGTTTGCAGGCCAACCACCAAACACCGTCGATCGGTTCATTAAAAAACCGGACCTGAACCAGTATGATAAACCCATAAAAAAGTTAGAAATTTTATTTATTTTAAGTTGAAAAGTTAGAAAGTTTATATATGTATCCCAAAATAGAGGGGACACTTTTTTTAGGTATATGTTGTAAGGAACGGATATATATATATATATATATATATATATATATATATATATATATATATATATATATATATACTAGTCGTTTACCCGCGCAAAACGGCGGACGTTGAATGATGTTTATTCGGCAAATAGTTTCCGGCAAACAAATATAATTGTGTTTTTGTTTTGGGTTAAAAATAAAAATGTGTACATAATTTTTGTTGAAAAAATTTTGTTTTTGTTAAATAAAAATGTAGGTACATATTTTGGGTTAGAAAAAAAAATATAGTGTAATTTTGCGTTAACAATGATCATTTTCCAATTGACATTGATAAAAAAAATGTCAATTTGATAAAAAAAAAAAATGTCAATTTGATCCGACTAAATTATACACTCATACCCAATCCACATTTGACTTTTTGCAGCTACTACTTTCACTTTAAAAATATACACCTATTTAACATTAATCGCATGCAATTATCAACATCTTGGCATAAATTTGAAGAAATCAAAACATTAAAATGGTCAAAAAAAACTTAGCCAATACTTTAATTCTATGAATTGCTTCATCTTTTTTTATGTCCAATCGTAAATGTTCATATCCTGTGAGAGAATCCAATTTTTCTTGTAGTTCAAGTAAGGAAGGGACTCAATTTAAACCAAATGACACATTGTTACATATGAATAAAGATCATATACTAACTTATTTCTCCTTTTGTAGTGCAACAAGAGCACCGACAGATGAAACACCAGAAAGTACAAGAAATCATAAAAAGATCTTATTGCTCTGATTTCTCTGTTTGAATATTTCATGTTGTTATAAAGTAAAGCACTTAAAAAAATTGCAAACCTCAAAGAAGCAAAAATGGATAGATCTGTATGTACAATTCATCCATGGAGAATGAACCATCATCCACACAAAAACCATCCTCGACTCAACACTCCAAAGTAGCTTTGACATCCGCTCTAAAAAGGGGAAACCATTAAACCGGTGAGTAATCGATATCCATTTAATCAGCAGGTTAGTGAACTTACATTCCTCCTGAAAAATCACAGTACTCCAGCAAATCTTCTTATTCTTCAAGCTTATCTAAATTTGATGTAAATTTTATACATGGGAAAAAAAACATATTTGTCATTGCTTTTATTGAAGCTTGTAGACTAAAAAGTAGATGCTATACCTGAAACTGGCGAGGAAGAAGAAAGTCCAAATTTTTAAACAAATCCCTCATGCTTGAGAAACAAATCATATACACAAAGAGAGAAGAAGACATGTTAAAATCTCAAAAATATAGTTTTCAAAAACATAGATGTACAAACCCTCAATTCTCAATTACTAACTTTAGGTTTAAAGAGAGAGTGACACGAAAATAACTAATAGTGTTTATATTTATGAATAATGTCATGGAACCATAAATCAAAAGAAACTTGCTTACCTATTCAACATACAAAAAACTGGAACCTAGGAAATAAATACATAAAACTCGAACCTGTGAAAACAGAAAAACGTAATGATATGAAATCAAAAGAATATAAATATCGGTTGGTAGTTAGAAATCAAGAAAAGAAGAACCAGACATCCATCTTTCTATATCGACCCTAAAATCAATCTTGGTACATCCAACCTGACATAAAACAATAAACGAACCAGAAAATGAAAGAAGCCGGGAAAGAATATAAACCATGCTACATGTTTTGAAACATACTTATTGAAAGCATCATAAAATTTCGATTTTGAACTACTATCCACTAAACAAACACTGCAAAACACAACCATCAAACGTCAATCGCCTCTAGAGGGGTGATTCGACTAAAAAGGACTAAAAAAAAGTATACTATAAGCATGAACATTGGGGTTTGACAGAGTGTCCGCATTAATCAAGAATAAAAATTATGATATTTTGTAAAACAATTTAAAAAGATAAAGTACGTATAAGTCGATACCTTAAATTGGTCATCCTGCTAGTTTTTATAGCATGAGAAGTAGTGAACCTCCAAGCGATATTTGACGGCTAGAGATAGAGGGTGAGGTCGAAGGTGAAGGAGACAAGCCCTAACTTAATCTCCAGAGATAGATGGATATATTTGGGTTGAATGCTTGGAGCGGGACTTTTGGGTTCCTTCGATTTGAATGAGTCTCCCACTTTAAATAATAAATGATTAGAGAATTGTTCAATTTTAGCTAGAAATGGGGAAAGTCAAAATAAAAGTTGGGTCAATTATATGATTATAAGGCTTGATTATTGGAAATAACATTTATTCTTTATTAGATACTTGTACACATTGCTTCATCATTTATACGATTTAAACAATTACATAATTATAATATATATATATATATATATATATATATATATATATAATATTATTTTATTGATGGTTACTTGTACTATTAGCTTAATGGTTTGAACGTCTTAAAATAATAATATTATTATATTCAATCTATTTTTGGAATTAGTGAGATTTCTTTTATAAGATAGTAAGATATATATATATATATATATATATATATATATATATATATATATATATATATATATATATATATGTTGTAAGGAAAGGAGTTATAAGATTCAAAAGCGGGGTAAACTGAATCCGAGGTACATAACACCATTCGAAATTTTCATAAAGAGTTATTTAACCCCAAGAGCTAAATAACGTGTATGATGTCTTTCATATGTCTAATCTTAAAAAGTGTCTTTTTGATGATACACTTATCATTCCGCTTGGTGAAATTCAGATTAATCCTGAACTGAACTTTGTCGTAGAGCCATTCGAAATCATGGATAGAGAGGTCAAACGACTCAAGCAGAGTCGGATTCATATAGTCTAAGTACGATTTAACTCTAAGCAAGGACCAAAGTACACATGGAAACCAGATGAGGAAATAAAGTACAAGTACCCTCACTTGTTCAAAGGAATCTAGACGATAAGGTAAAATTTTGGGATACAAATTTCCTAAACAGGGGGAGATTGTGATAACCAAGAGGATCCCGTTACTAATTAATCACCATTTGGAACATGTAGGAAAATAGATGAAAAAACTTAATATTGTAATATTTGATTTTTGAGATAATAAAGATCAAAGGTGCTATTGTATTTGTTGTTAAATGATGGTTAAGGCTAAAAATTAAGTGTCCAAAAAATTGTATCGTCTTCTAAGTTGGTTAACATACTTGGAAAGTACTCGTTAACCTGATCTCAAGGATATAAGATTTGTAAAAATTCGACTCAAAACGAAAGAGTTATGGATTTTATAAAAATAAAAATCAAACACGTAATTAAAATTGATTACGTCAAAGGGTACTTAGAGATTGGTTGAGTTTTGACTAAAAGTGAAAGACGGAGATTTGCACTACTCCTTAACATAAAAACTTTAAGACAAAGAATGTCGAAAACGGGATCCATATGAGAGAGATATGATTTTTGTAGAATCATTTATTTTTAACCCCGTTAGGCACAAAAATAAAAGTTAAAACTAGTTAAAACAACCTAAAGGAGACTTATTTTACTCCTTGAGATCATTGTATATATATAGAGAGAGGGCTTAGATCGAAACTCGCACGAAGAAGTTATGATTTTTCAAAATTACTTCATGTGTGTGCAGTATGCATCTCTGCACGTTGCGCACCTGACACCAGATTCGAGTAGATTGCGAGTAACGTGGCCAATTAGGGTGGCGATACGTAGCCTTCTCTGGATGGAGCCACGATGATCATGCATGACGTGCATAGATATTTGTGACGCCCGCACCCAAATTCTATGCCTATAAATAGAATGTTAGGCAGAACCCATTCTGTATACTATCTGTTCTCTCACTCTCCCTCTCCTCAAAGTAGCTGCCCTTGGAGCGGTCGTCGGAGTCTTGAGCTAGTTTCAAACCTACATCAAAGGTCTCATGCGACTAGGGTGAGCTCACAGACCCTTTTTCACTATTTGAATTTATCCGGCGGGGGGGGGGGGGGGGGGTAGTACATTCTTATAGAACTATTTTATCAAAGTATTTATACATATAAATATCAAACATTTTATAAAGCTAGAAACCTTAGTATAATGTAGCTATAGATATTATGCCTAGTTGTAAGTTATGATATTATTCCTCAGAATTATGATATCTGATAGTCTAAAAAGAGATATTATCTAGATTTTATAAAGGTCAGTTTTCTATGGTAACATAGTACCTAGAAGTAATGCTGGTCAAATATAGGGATATGCACTGATGCACTGTATCTGATCATTAATCTTCCAAAATATCCTATCACTCAAAATAATCATAACTAGGCTATATATGACAAAATAATATATATATATATATATATATATATATATATATATATATATATATATATACTAGAAAAGTTTGAGTCTCGTGCTAAGCACGGCCCACGGAAGGCTATTTAGGTAATTTTTTTAGTGTAATCTAATGTCACACAATGAAGCTATGGTGATATAGGTAAAAAGCCTTGTTATGTTTAAGACAAATATGAAATAAGCGTAAACAAATTCATTAACATAACATACACTTCAAGTAGTACACTGTAAAGGTATAGAGAAACATATCATTAACATATTCAGTAACTTAATATACATACATTAAGCTACATTGGCAGGTGTTTATTGCTTGACCATCAGGTAATACAAAGAAGGAATGAAATTTATAACATGTGAACATCCCTTAGAAATAACTTGGACCCTGCAAATGAATTACAAATTAGAATTAAAATTAATATGAAAACAAAATATAGTTGCAATTAATGTAGATTGTATGCCAAATTCGATTTCAAGTACAAATAGACTTTGTGCCTGAAGTTGAATATTCACCAAAAGAAGTTACTAACTTACTTTAATATATTCTAAATTAAAACACATGATGAGGGTATTGCGTAATATTTGACTAAGTTTCCTATGCGTCTGACATGGTTTTCAACACCGGACTGTACTGGACTAGTCGGTGAAACGACCCATTGTACGACCTAAAAATATTTTTGTTTTAATATTTCTAAAAATCAAATCATCGAGTATCATACATAATAAAAATCATGGAATGAGTAACTCAAATGTCATAGTAACTGTGTCAAAACAAAGTTGTATCAATCATCAAAATATCCAAAATAAACTCCTAGGATGAACTCAAGTTGTAATGTGTGCGATGTCATCATCCTGAGCTCTTCCCTTTGCTAGCGGAAGTACCTGAAACCAAAACTGAAACTGTAAGCATGAAGCTTAGTGAGCTCCCCTAAACTACCACATACCATATAATAACACATAAACAACTACTAGGCCTTGCCCACTGCATCGAATTGAAGTCCGGAAACTGCATCGGACCGAAGTCCGGAACTAACCAGGGCATTGCCCTCTGCATTGGACCGTAGTCCGGAAACTGCATCGGACCGAATTTCAGAACCGACTGGGACCTTGTCCCCTGCATCGGACCGAAGTCTGGAAACTGACTGAGCATAACATAGCATAGCATAAACATATCAACTAGCATAAGCATATATACTACATACTGCATCGGACCGAAGTCCAGAACACATAACACAAAACATGCTTGAATCACAAAGACATCAAGCAATCTAACTATTGCATCAGACCGAGGCCCGGAACTACTACTAACTAAATGGGTCGGCATTGTGGCTGTTGAGATGCTAACTCTAACACTGGCTGACTGCTGCTCCGGAACTGTCCTACAAATTCCAAAAACACTAGGCCAGGTACTCATAAATGCCCTCAGGATAAAATGATTATTTTACCCCTGGTCAAAGTCAACTTTCAGTTTACCGGACTCACCGAGTTGGGTCGTCAACTTGTCGAGTCCCTATTATCCATTCTAGTCCTCTACCCGCTTCTAATCGTCGAGTTTGGCAAAGACTAGACGAGTTCTTCTTCGATGCTAACATCGAGTCTAACTTCATCCGACTCACCGAGTTGTATGAACAACTCGTCGAGTTCTCCTTCAACATATGAACACATCCAGTCTGTGACTCGCCGAGTCGGATGAACAACTCGTCGAGTTTGAAGAACAACTCGCCAAGTTGAAGAATAACTCACCGAGTCCTAAGCATGCTATTACTACACAATCGATTCTGATCGATTTCAGTGCTTCCAAATAATAGATCTGAGCTTCTAGGACTGGTTTTACACGTAAAGTTTCCAACTTTACGTGCATGCACAAGAGTATGAAGCTAAATACCCAAAATCAACAAATACTAAGCACTTAGGGTTTGAAACAAGGCCAAGATTGCATAAAGGTGGCTATAATGAGCTTCTGGGGTTCAATAACGTCTAGATCTAAGGTTTCCATCCAAGGAGAGTCCATAACTCAAGTTTTGAATCATAAAAGGATCCAAAGAAGACATAACAAGCATAAAAGAGGTCTTAATGGAGGAATACACAAGGTCACAACTTCATTACCTGAATGAGAAACAGATGGAAGCTAACTCCTGGATCTCCTTCCTCTTCTAAGGACCTTCTTTCCTTCCTTCTCTTCCAAAGCTTCCAAGCTAGCACAAACACACTCAAACTCAACAATGGGGCTAGGGTTTTACAGGGGAAATGCTCTAAAGGTGCTGGAGGCTGAGGTGGGAGGCTATAATGATGTTTAAATAGGGTACAAACCCTTGAAATTAGGGTTTCATCCAGTAGAATACCCTTCTGGTTGACGAGGTGACCAAGGAACTACACCTCGCGCAACCAGAACTCGCACTTGGAGAACTTTGCAAAAAGTCTCTCCCTCCTCAGCGTCTCTAGCACCTCTCTCAAGTGCTCCTCATGTTGCTCCTGAGTCTTGGAGTAAACCAAGATGACATCGATGAATACTATCACAGACCGATCCAACATCAGCCTGCATACGCGGTTCATGAGATCCATGAACGCGGCTGGAGCGTTGGTGAGCCCAAACGGCATCATCACAAACTCAGCGAGTTGATGGCCCAACATCGGCCTGCATACGCGGTTCATGAGATCCATGAACTCACCGAGTTGGGCCATCAACTCGCTGAGTCCCTATTATCCATTCTAGTCCTCTACCCGCTTCTACTCGTCAATTTTGGCAAAGACTCGATGAGTTCTTCTTCGATGCTAACATCGAGTCTAACTTTATCCGACTCGCCGAGTTGTATGAACAACTCGTCGAGTT